TAGAAGGAGAAGAGAGAGAATAGTTCTTCTTCCCAATATCAGATAAAAGGCCAGTGGATAGACGAAGAAAACAGGAGACTGATTGGCTTAGTATATCAATTTGGATTGAGGAAATGGGCTGTAATAGCTGAAGAAATGGTTGGTAGAGTGGGAAAACAGTGTCGCGAGCGATGGAATAATCATCTGCATTCTCATATCAAGAAGGACGTTTAGACTGAAGATGAAGAGAGACAGTAAATTCAAGTACATGAAAGACTTGGAAATCAATGGCTAGAGATAGCTAAGTACATTCTTGGAAGAACTGAAAATTCAGTAAAGAATCATTGGAAGGCCACAAAAAGGAGGCAGATTTCAAGGAGAAATATAAAAAAAGGTAAAAGGAGATAGAAGATAGTTAACACTATTATAAAATTACATCATAAAAAGTATTTCAGTAATGGTTCCACCTCCACTAACTCAAATTCCGGTACCACTACCACTGCAGCAAATCCGTCCATCGTCGGTACACCTCTCTCTAATGATGAAGACTCGACGCAATTTTTCAGTTTCGAATCATACAATGACGAAATGGATTTCATGAAAACCCTATTTGAAAACAATCAGTCCATCGATTCAATTCCAATCGATCATTGTCAACCAATGAATCCAGCTGAACGGACATCTGAGAATGCTTATAGCTTCAACGTTGATGAAAATTATAATCATCCCACCATTTTCTTCACTTCCTCGGAGATTTTACAGACAACTAATTCTCAACTGCCTGCTGTAGAATATGTGGAAAATGACTTATTCCATTCTGCTCCAAACCCTATGGGAAATAAATTTTTCCCTTATGAGAATTCAGATTTAATCATGGAATTAAATTCTAACTTTCGAAGCGTGGAGACTGAAGCTTCACAGATTTATCTTGATGAGTTGTACTTTTCATATCAATAGGATGGAGACAATGTTGGAAACGAAAATTTAACAACAAATTTGCCAACAATTGATCAAGGTACAACCTTTGGAAGCACAATGGACACGGATTTGATGGATATGGTCTCATCTTTTCAGCTACCTCCTCAATTTAGTCCATACAATGGCTTATTCTAATCTAGTTACTAATTATTATCCTATAATTATTGTGTTTTACCTTAGTTAAACACTCTATGACTTTACAAATATTTGTAAAATTGAGTTCTGCTGCTTCGTTAAAACTTATTAAAGGGAAATTCAGGCCAAAAAAACCCTAAACCCTAAACTGTAAGCCCTAAACCTCGATGAGGCCACCTCCGACTTGAGATGCCCTAGTAAGGCAAGGTTGTGTATTGAGGTAAATTTGGGGCATAAGTTGCTCGAGAGGGTTTGGATTGGGCGCGTCAAAAACCATGGCTTTTGGTAGACAAATATTTATTAGAAGCAGTCGATTTTTTTTGCTTCTCTTCTAAACACTTGGACCATTCTTATGATAAGCGTACTACGGTTCCTTCTCCTTCCTCTACAGTTGTTGTGCATCCCCCTGTTTAGGCTGCATCCTTGCCACAGCCAAGACAAGTCCCAAACATTGCCTGGACACCGTGTCCAAGAAACTACATAGAAAAATGTGAAAATCAGGATGTGTCCCTACAGCATCCTAGACATAGCCTACACGCCGTGTCCCGAAAATTGCCTAAAAATGAGGCTGTATCCCTACCACGGACCAGTCGCATCCCAGACATTACTCGCACATCGTGTTCTAGAAATTACCTAAAAATAACTGAAAGTCTAGATGCATCCCTGCCGCATCTTGGACATGGCTTGCACACCGTGTCCATGAAACTACCCAGAATTGCCTGAAAATCAGGCTCCGTCACTGCCTTGACCATGATGCGTCCCAGACATGGCCTACACATCTAGTCCCAAAAATTGCTAAGAAATGCCTGAAAATTAGGCGGTGCCCTAGCCACGGCCTGGATGCATCACAGACATTGCCTGCACACCGTGCCCACAAACTGCCTACAAATGCCTAAAAATTAAGCTGCACCCCTACAATGGCCAGGACGCGTCCCAGATGCGGCCTGCACACCGTACCCAAAACTTCCCAGGAATGCCTGAAAATTAGGCTGCATCCTTGCGTGGCCCTGATGCGTCCTATCATGGCTTGAACACCGTGTCTCAAAAATTGCCTATAAATGCCTGAAAATCAAGATGCATCCCTACCGCGTCCTGGACAAGGCCTGCATACCGTGTCCCAAAAACTGCCTAGAAATGCCTGGAAATCAGGCTGCATCCCTACAGCAGGCCCAATGCATCCCAAAAATTGCCTGCAACTGGGTCAAAGAAATTACCTGGAAATATGTGAAAATCAGGATGTGCCCCTACAGCATCCTTGACATGGCCAGCACACCATGTCCCAGAAACTGCCTAGAAATGCCTGGAAACCAGGCTGCATCCCTATCGCGGCAAAGACGTGTCTCGGACATTGCCTACACACCGTGTTTCAAAAATTGCCTAAAAATACCAAAATTTAAGATGCGTCCTCGCCGCATCCTGGACATGGCCTGCACATCACATCCCAAAAATTGCCCAAAATTGCCTGAAAATTAGGCTCCGTCCTTGTCGTGGCCATGATGCATCCCGAACATGGCCTGCACACTGAGTCCTTGCTGCGGCTAGGACATGTCCCAGATATGGCCTGCACATCGTGCCCACAAAAGGCCTACAAATGCCTGAAAATCAAGATGCATCCCTATCGCGGCCAGGAGGCATCCCTGTCATGGCCATGGGGTGTTTCAGACATGGCCTACACACTGAGTCCCAAAAATTGCTAAGAAATGCCTAAAAATTAGGCTGCGTCCAAGCAGAGGCCAGGGTGCATCCCGAACTTAGTCGCACACCGTGCCTACAAACTGCCTACAAATGCCTGAAAATCAGGATGCGTCCCTACTATGGTCAGGACGCGTCCCGGACGTGGCCAACACACCGTGCCCAAAAACTTCCCACGAATGTCTGAATATCAAGCTGTGACCCGGATGTGGCCCGGATGAGTCTCGATCAAAGCCTGCACATCATCTCCCAAAAAATTGCGTAGAAATGCCTGTAAATCAAACTGTGTCTCAACCGCGTCCTGGACATGGCATGTACACCGTGTCCCAAAATCTGTCTAAAAATGCCTGGAAATCAGGCTACATCCCTGCAGCAGCCCCGACATGTCTCGAAAATTGCCTGCACACCGTGACCAAGAAATTGCCTAGAAATATGTGAAAATCAGGATGTGTCCCTGCAGCATCCTGGACATGGCCTCTACGGTGTGTCCTAGAAACTACCTAGAAATGCCTGAAAACTACGCTACATCCCTGCCACTGCCCAGATCATCCTGAGCACTGCCTGCACATCATGTCCCAGAAATTGCCTAAAAATACCTGAAAGTCAGGATGTGTCCCTGCTACATCCTGGACATGGCCTGCACACCGAGTCCCAGAAACTGCCCAGAATTGCTTGAAAATCAGGCTCTGTCACTACCGTAGCCATGATGCGTCCCGAACATGGCCTGCACATCGAGTCCCAGAAATTGCCAAGAAATGCCTGAAAATTAGGATGCATCCCTATCTCAGCAAGGTCACATCCTGGACATGGCCTGCACACCGTGCCCACAAATTGTCTACAAATGCCTAAAAATCAAGTGGCGTTCCTACCGTGGTCAGGCAAGTCCCAGAAGTGGCCAACACACCATGCCCAAAAACTTCCCAGAAATGCTTAAAGATCAGGCTGCATCCCTATCGTTGTCCAGAAGCATCCCGTTCATGGCCTACACACCGTCTCCCAAAAACTGCCTAGAAATGCTTGAATATCGGGCTGCATCCCGGATGCGTCGTGGACACGGCTTGCACACTATGTCCCAAAAATAGCCTAGAAATGCCTGGAAATACAGTTGCATCCCTGTCGCAGCCCAGACGCACCCTGAACATTGCCTGCACACCGTGCATCAGAAAATAGCCTAGAAATGCCTGGAAATATAGTTGCATCCCTGCCGCAGCCCAGACGCATCCTGAACATTGCCTGCACACCGTGCATCAGAAAATTGTCTAGAAATACCTGAAAATCGGGATACGTCCTTGCCGCATCTCGGACATGGCTTACACTCTACGACCCAGACAGTGCCTAGAAATGCTTGAAAATCAGGCTACGTCCCTATCGCGGCTAGGACATGACCTACACACCGTGTCCCAAAAACTGCGTAAAAATGCCTAGAAATCAGGCTGCATCCCTGTCGCGGTACAGACGAGTCCCGGACATGGCCTGCACACCGCGTCCCAGAAATTGCCTAGAATATCATAAAATCAGGCTGCGTCCCTGTCGCATCTTGGACAATGCCTGCACATCGTGTCTTAGAAATTACCTAGAAATGCCTGGAAATCAGGTTGCGTTCCTGCCATGATCAGGATGCGTCCCAAACATGGTTTGCATGTCGTGCCAAAAAATTGCCTAAAATGCCTGAAAATCAGGCTCCGTCCTTGTCATGGCTCGGATGCATCCTGAACATGGCCTACAAACCATGACCTAGAAATGCTTAAAAATGAGGTTACGTTCCTGTCAGGTCTGGAATGTGTCCCGGACATGGATAGCACACAGTCCCTAAAAGTTATCGAAAAATGCCTGAAAATCAGGCTGCGTCCCTTCTGTGGCCATGACTTGTCCCGAATTTGGCCTATACACCGTGTCCCAAAAACTATCCAGAATGTTTGGGAACATGCATGCGTCCCTAACATGGCCTGCACAACGTGCTTCCTTCATTTCGTTGAAAATCTGCTTGCGCCCCTAATGTGGTCAGGACGCGTCCCAAACATTGCCTCAAATCGTGCCTAGAAACTGCCTAGAAATGCCAGAAAAATAGATTTTGTTCACGGCCAGGATGCCTCTCGAACATGGCCTGCATACCATGCCCATAAACTGCCTAGAAATGTCTAAAAATCAGATTGCGTTCGCGGACAGGACGCATCCCGGACATGGCCTACACACCATGGCCTAGAAACTGCCTAGAAATGCCTGAAAATCAGATTGCATCAGCGGCCAAGATGCCTCTCGGACATGGCCTGCACACCATGCCCATAAACTGCCTAGAAATGCTTAAAAATCAGATTCTGTCCACGACCAGGACGCATCCTGGTCATGGCCTGCATACCGTATCCCTGAAATTGCCTATAAATGTCTGAAAATAAGGATACGTCCTGGACATGTCCTATACATCGTGTCCCAAAAACCCTAAACCCCAGGCCCTAAATCGTAAGCCCAAAGCCCTAAGCTTTGAGCCCTGGACCCTGGATCCTGAACCTTGAACCCTGGACCCTAAACCCTATACCATTTTCCTTTTAATGAAGTAAATCATTTTCAAAATTTTTCTTCAAATGGCACAATCAGTAATTACACCGCCTGACAGCCAAGCTTCATGGAAGGACTTCAACATGAAAAATAAACTTCGGGAGAAAATCTTTCAGTAAATGTGATACCTGCACCGAGCAATCCTGATCGAAAGGAGAAGAGAGAGAATAGTTCTTCTTCCAGATATCAGATAAAAGGCCAGTGGATAGGCAAAGAAGACAGGAGACTGATTATCTTAGTACATCAATTTGGATTGAGGAAATGGGTTGTAATAGCTGAAGAAATGGTTGGTAGAGTGGGAAAACAATGTTGCGAGCGATGGAATAATCATCTGTGTTCTCATATCAAGAAGGACATTTTGACTGACGATGAAGAGAGACGGTTAATTCAAGCACATGAAAGACTTGGAAATTGATGGCCAGAGATAGCTAAGTACATTCTTGGAAGAACTAAAAATTCAATAAAGAATCACTGGAATGCCACAAAAAGGAGGCAGATTTCAAGGAGAAAGATAAAGAAATTAAAAGGAGATAGAAGACAGTTAACATTATTATAAGATTACATCATAAAAAAGTATTTCAGCAATGGTTCCACCTCTACTAACTCAAATTCCAGCACCACCACCACCGTAGCAAATTCGTCCAATGCCGACACATGACTCTCTAGTAATGAAGACTCTACACCATTTTTTAGCTTCAAATCATGCAATAACGAAATGGATTTCATGAAAACCCTATTTGAAAACAATTAGTCCATCGATTCAATTCTAGTCGATCATTGTCAACCAATGAATCCAGTTGAACGGACATCTGAGAATACTTTTAGCTTCAACATTGATGAAAATTATAATCATCCCACCATTTTCTTCACTTTCCTGGAGATTTTATAGACTCAACTGCCTGCTGTAGAATATGTGGAAAATGACTTATTCCATTCTGCTCCAAACCCTATGGGGAATAAATTTTACCATTCTGAGAATTCAGATTTAATCATGGAATTTAATTCTAACTTTTGAAGGGTGGAGACTGAAGCTTCATAGATTTATCCTAGTGAGTTGTACTTTTCATATCAATGGGATGGAGGCAATGCTGAAAGCTTAAATTTAACAACAAATCTACAAACAATAAATCAAGGTACAACCTTTGGAAGCACAATGGACACGGATTTTGTAGAACCCCAATAATTCTAGACACCTTAGTGGCACTAAGACATGAATATTGGATGACTAAAGTATACTTCAGATTTTTAGTCTCATTTGAGACCGATTTTCGACATAGGAAACATTCAATTTGGAAATGATATCTAAATAAAAGTTGTAGCACTTTGAGTTATCTTTCCAACGCACTTTGAATTACCTCAATCGGATATCGGGAGAAGAAGTTATAACAGAAATACTGAAGGCTGCGCAGTGTCAACCGGACTACAACCAGTCGACCAAAAATGAAAATTCTTGTTTTTCTCTAGAATTTAAATATTTATTTTCTCAAAGGGCCACCCACGTTTTTGGCAATAAAAACCCCACTAAATTGAAGCATTTAAAGGTAGGAAGAGGTACAATGTGTTTAATCGTGTTAAGTTATAAGTTTCGATTCATGCTAATGTTTGTATGTCAAATGGTACTCCAGTACGACATATCTCTCTATGTTAATGGTTGTATGTCAAATGGTACTCCGGTACGGCATACCCCTCTATGTTGAAGAAATGTTCGTATGTCAAATGGTACCCTCAGGTACGGCATACCCCTTCATGTCAAATGGTGCCTCCGGGTACGGCATGTATGAAAAGTTATAAAGTTAATGTTTTGAAATGTATAGCTTGATCATGAATGCACCTATGACACCTATTGAATTTTTTCAACTCACGGGTTTAATCCCATCTCTACAGATTGAAGGAATTCTACCTCGGGCATGGATGGAGGAGAAGATGGAGAGTGATGCAACAAGCCCATGGAAATCCGGTGAACAAGTGATTTGAATTTATTTTTATGAAATGTTTTCCAATGTTATTTCTTTAATGTTTTGAATAACACAGAATGTGAGAACAAGTTATGTTTTCTTCAAATAAATTACATTTGTTTGTTTTGAAAAATGATTCAATGTTTTTGTTTAAAGTATTTGAAGTATTGTTATTTAAATTATTATCCGAAGATGTAAGCTTCCACTAAAACGTATGCACTTGTTACTAAACTACTGGTGAAGCTAAGTAAAGTAAGTAGCGTTCTGGTCCACTAGGGGTGGGGCGTTACAGCGTGGTATCAGAGCAAGGTTTAGCCAGTTCTTTAGACTAAGTATTTTTTTTAAAAACAAAAGGAAAATGAAAAGTTTGAGGTATTCCATGGCATCGTGCATCCATCCATCAATCTCATCCTATGGCCCAGGTATGTTTATTTTTAAAGTTAATGATTATGTTTATGTTATGATGCTTTGATATGATTTAGAGATGTGTTATTTAAAGATATATAATGGACTTGGGCAAAAGCTAAGGGCTTAAAGGGAATTGCATGATATGAAAGTTTAAATATTTGCATGTTTTCTTTAAGCAAAGGAAAAGTATGATGTATGTGAAAATGCAATAGATATGGTTCGTAGAACAGCTATGGCATATAGAGAAGCATTGAACCGTAGAATTGCTATTCATTCCTATGAAAACTATGTAACTGATTTGACCCGACCGCTTAGCGAACATGTGTATGACATCTATGAGAGATGCGTGACAGCGGTTAATGCTGGTATGGAGATCACGTATATTGAGGCCATAAATAACCTCATACAATCCTTCCCACCTCAATGGGGAGATATGGGAGTCATGGTTAGGGATGAAATGTTAGAAGGCAACCCAAACCTGTTCGAGTTTGAGAGGTATTGCCATGCCCTAATTGATTTATGGGATGATGTAATCCATGAGGAGTTTGAACCTTTGGCTGAGGAAGAAGATCCTGAAGAAGCCAAGGATGATTTAGAAAATGATCCTGAGCCTGAGCCACATGTTGAGATGGACATAGAGTCCGGACCTGAGGCGGAAGACTCTTCCGAAGATGAAGCTCCACCAAAGAAGATTTGTAGAACTTATAGGGATTAGATTTATTGCGCCCTATTCTAAGTGTGGAAGGACACATCGTGGCGAGTGCTTACAAGGGAAAAATGTCTGTTTTCGATGTGGCAAGCCAGGACATATCATTAGGGATTGGCCCACACATACCTAGAAGAAGGATGATAACAGCGACCAGAACCAGAAAGGGAAAGAACGAGTTTTTGCATTGACTCAGAAAGATGCAGAGGAAAACTCGAACGTCATAGTAGGTACTTTATTGATAGCTAATACGCCTGCTTATGTATTGTTTGATTCAGGAGCCACACACTCCTTTGCTTCAACAACTTTTATGGCTAAATCTAGTATTACCTGTGATAAGTCGGAAGGTACATTAGAAGTTAGTATTCCTTCGGGCAACCCTTTGAATACTGATAGAATAGCCAAGTCAGTAAGTATCGAAGTTGAGGGAAAACCAATGGAAGCGAACCTTTACATGATAGAAATGAAGGATTTTAATGTAATACTAGGCATGGATTGGTTAGGTTGTAATTACGCCACCATCCGATGTAAGGAAGTGGAAGTATCATTTCAGAAACCAGGAGAAGAACCATTTTCGTTCCTTGGAATGAAGACAAAACCCCTTATTCGACTAGTATCGGCTTTACAAGCTGAGAAGATGTTGAGAAAAGAAACATCTTAAGGATATTTAGTAAGTATCTTAGGAGGGAAACAAAAGACGATAAGGGTTGAAGATGTACCAGTAGTACGGAAATTTGTAGATGAGTTTCTAGAAGATCTATCTGGTATTCTACCCGATAGATAAGTGGAATTCACCATAGACCTAATTCCCAGGGTGGCACAAGTATCTAAGGCCCCATACTGAATGGCCCCAAAGGAACTACAAGAATTAAAGAAGTAGTTGCAAGAACTCCTAGATATGGGCTTCATATGACCAAGCGTATCTCCATGGGGTGCGCTGGTGTTGTTTGTAAAGAAGAAAGATGGAAGCATGAGAATGTGCATCGATTATAGGGAGATAAATCGATTAACCATCAAGAACAAGTACCCACTCCTGAGGATCGAGGATCTGTTAGATCAACTAAAAGGAGCTAAGGTATTTTCCAAGATCGACTTACGATCGGGATACCATTAACTGAAAGTAGAGACAAAGGATATACCTAAGACAACTTTTAGAACTCGATATGGAAACTACGAGTTTACGGCAATGCCGTTTTGTCTAACCAATGTAACTGCAGTGTTCATGGACCTGATGAATCGAGTGTTTCATCAATACTTGGATAAGTTTGTCATAGTCTTCATCGATGACATTCTGATATATTCCAAGAGTAAGGAGCAACATGAAGAGCACTTGAGAATAGCCTTAGAGGTATTACGCAAGGAGAAGCTGTATGCCAAATTCAAGAAGTGTGAGTCTTGGCTTGAACGAGTTCGATTTCTTGGACATGTAGTTACTGCCCAAGGGATTGAAGTAGATCCAGCAAAAGTAGAAGCAGTAACCAACTGGAAAGCACCAACAAATGCTGGCGAAGTACGGAGTTTTCTAAGAGTGGCTGGATATTATAGGAGATTCATAGGAAGATTCTCCAAAATAGCTGGACCAATGGTGCAACTTACAAGGAAGGGAGTAAAATTCCAATGGACAGAAAAATGCGAACAAAGTTTCCAAGAACTTAAGCAGAAGTTGATATCAGCACCTGTATTAACAATACCTGAAGGTACGGAAGGGTTTGTTATATACAGCGACGCATCCAAGTAAGGATTGGGATGTGTACTAATGCAGAATGGAAAAGTGATAGCCTATACTTCAAGACAATTGAAGAAACATGAGTAGAACTACCCGACGCATGATTTAGAACTTGTAGCGGTAGTATACACTTTGAAGATATGGCGACACTACTTGTATGGACAGAAGTGTGATATCTATACAGATCACAAAAGTCTCAACTATTTCTTCACACAGAAGGAATTGAATATTCGACAAAGACGATGGTTGGAATTGGTGAACGATTACAACTGCACTATTCACTACCATCCGGGTAAGGCTAATGTTGTGGCTGACGCTCTAAGTAGAAAATCAATGGGACAATTGACGTCACTGCCCACCTCTCAAGTGGAGTTAGTCAAGGACTTGGAAAAGTTGCAGATCGAAGTGGTTACCACACCAGGACAAGTCACTGCTCGTCTAGCAGCTTTAATAATTCGACCTACTCTTAGAGATCGAATTATAGAAGCACAAAATAAAGACTCATTTTTGCAGAAGATTAAGAATGAAGTTGGTACCGATAACAAAAAGGACTTTGGAATAACTGAGGATCAGGCACTGATATTTAGAGGAAGAATTTGCCTGCCTAAGGATGAAACCTT